TGGTTCCACTACGATGATTTGCAGGATTATAGTCTCGCCAGAGACAGGGTGAGACGGACGAATATAAATCCTCCGAACAGATTGGGTTTGAAGACTTGGTATCTTTTGCACTTACTGTTAGCAATGATGATCCAGTTACTTTTCATGATGCCGTTACTAGTCAGGAAAACGACAAGTGGATGGCAGCCATGGTTGAGGATGGAGTCTTTGAATCACATCGCATATGGGAGTTAGTTCCCCTTCCTGAGGTAAGAACCGATTTGTTGCAAATGGGTGTATAAGAAGAAACCAGCAGTAACAGAAAAAGAGGGGAGAAGTTCAAGGCTCGTTTGGTAGCGAAGGGTTTTTCACAGCAAAAGGAGTTGATTATGATGAAATCTTTTCTCCTGTGGTCAGGCACACTTCAATCCGAGCAGTACTTGCATTGGTGGCTAGTTGGGATTTGCATTTAGAGCAGATGGATGTTAAAACTGCTTTTTTGCATGGTGATTTAGAGGAGCAGATCTACATGCGGCAACCTGAAGGTTTCACTCAACCTGAAACGAGCATTTAGTTTGCAGATTGAAGAAATCTTTGTACGGGTTAAAACAGTCTCCGAGACAGTGGTATAAACGGTTTGACTCCTATATGATCAAGATTGGCTACAACCGATGTGAGTATGATTGTTGTGTCTATGTTAAGAGCCTTGATGGTTCTTTTATTTTTCTATTACTGTATGTTGAGATATGTTGATTGCTGCGAAGAACATGGATGATGTTCGGTTTGAAAACTTTATTGATCAGGAATTTGATATGAAAGATTTAGGTGCTGCAAAGAAATTCTTGGAATGGAAATTTGCAGGGACAGAGACCAAGGAACTGCGGCTATCTCACGGGGTTATGTTGAGAAAATGATAGAAAGGTTTGCGATGAGCAGCGCGAAACCAGTTAGCACTCCATTGGCGAATCACTTTAAGCTCTCATCAGAACAGTGCCCTAAGACAGATAAGGAAGCTGAAAATATGGCAAATGTTCCGTATTCTAATGTTGTTGGCTGCTTGATGTATGCGATGGTATGTACTCGTCCTGATTTACTCATGCTGTTAGTCAAGTTTGTAAGTACAGTCTAAACCTGGTAAGCAACATTGGGATGCAGTCAAGTGGATCTTTCGGTACTTAAAGGGTACTGTGGACATGGAATTGTTTTTGGAGTCGCGGATAATCCTTTGGTTGTTATGTGGATTCAGATTATGCAGGTGACTTGGATAATAGAAGATCTACGACAGGGTATGTTTTACTCTTGGTGGAGGGCCTATTTGCTGGAAGTCTACTGTTCAATCTGTCGTGGCACTATCTACAACTGAAGCTGAATACATGGCAGCGGCTGAAGCTGCAAAAGAAGCTTATGGCTTACTGTTTAGTGAAGGAGTTGGGTGTTCAACAAGGTGGAGTTCAGTTGCTTTGTGATAATCAAGTGCTATTCACTTGGCTAAGATCAGGTGTATCGTGCTAGAACTAAACATTGATGTAAGGTTCCACAAGATCAGAGAGTTGTTGCATCTGGGAGGTTTTGTTCAGAAGTACATACTGATGAGAATGCCGCTGATATGTTCACCAAGTCTGTTACGACAGACAAGTTCAAGCATTGCTTGGACTTGTTGAATGTTTCGAGTTGTTAAAGAAGCAAGGTAACCCAACCCACATTGAAGTTTCCAAGGGGAGGATATTCGCCAAGGTGGAGATTTGTTAGGTATGGCTCATAAATATACCAGTAAGAGGACAGGAGATGGAGCGGAGTGAGCGAAGCGAACATCAACTGTCCTTACAAAGAAAGTCTCGTTGTGGGGTTACAAATTATGTGGGTTGTGGGTGCGGGGGCGTAGTCCCCGCGGTACGGTACAGGGTTGATTTTGTAATTATGTACCAGGGTTTTCTATTATAAAGAGAGTACCTAGACCTAAACATCATTGAATAAACTTCTAGCGCCGCCTAGGCACCGAGGACGTAAGCACATTGTCGAACCTCGTAAAATTCTCGTGTTCTTTCGTTTTCTTTACCCGTTTTCGTCAACACTAACGGAGAGAACCTGATTGACACAACAGAAGTTGATATAAGGTTGTCTATGCTAGTTTATGTATCCTGTGAGAAATGACTGGCTAATGATCACAATAAGAAAGCTGGGGCCATGAATGCTCTGGTTTGAACCAGTGCTATCATGTCGAATGGGCCATTCATCCTCAATCTTGACTGCGATCACCATATTTACAATTCATTGGCTCTCAGGGAAGGGATGTGATTTATGCTTGACAGGGGGTGGTGACAGGATTTGTTATGTTCAATTCCCACAAAGGTTCGAGGGAATCGACCCGAATGACCCGTATGCAAATCATAACACGATGTTCTTTGATGGAAGCATGAGAGCTCTTGATGGTTTACAGGGTCCATGTATCTAGGTACAGGTTGCATTTTTTGGAGGACCGTTCTGTATGGTTTACAGAGTCCTTCGATGGGAAACTGGTTCTGTTGATATATTCTTTTCAAGGAACACCACCTTATTCGCTAGTCGTCGAATGAAATTCTAGCAGAGGGTAGCCTATTTCAATGTGGGAATGCACCCTTTCACTTCCATTTTTCTCCTAGACTACTGCATTCTGCCTGCAGTGTCCCTATTCTCTGTACAGTTTATAGTGCAATACCTCGATGTAACTAGTGACGAAACTTGATGATAGAGTTTAGGGACAACTTAAAACTTAAAAAAAATAGAGGTTTAAATTAAAATTTTCAAAAATTCTGAAAAAATCAGTTTATATTTTTTTTAAAAAATTAGAAGCTAACTAACATTTTTTTTTTTAATTTGAGAGGCTTAATGAATTTTTAAAAATTATGGGAAGGGTTTAATTAAGAACATTAAAATATTTTAAAAGTTAATATAAATTTCTAAAAATTTTGTGGAAGTCAAATTAATTTTTAAAAATTTGAAGGGTCTAAAATTAAAATTTTCAAATTTTGAGGGCCATGGCTTCCACATGTCCCTATTTAGTTCCGCCTTTAAATGTGACCTTATGTTTTTGTTGACATCGCAATTACGTTAACTTCCAAATCCGCCACCCCATACGACGGAGACGATGAGTTTGCCGAGCTATACGTAATGAAATGGAGCTTCATGATGGTTCTTCCAATGACGATTATGATGGTAAACATGATTGCGATCGCGGTGGGGGTAGCAAGAACCATGTACAACATGTTCCCTGAATGGAGTAAGCTTGTGGAGGGGTCTCTACTTCATGGTAGCTTTATGTTCAATGTAATTTGGTTCATTCTCCTATACTTAAGTTGGAGTATTAACATAATTGATGATTCCATATGGTAGAGCTTCTAATATCAGAACAGCCATGAAAACTCACTGTCAAATATATATTAAACCTGACACATTCGAGTTATTTTTTCTCTGCTTCTGGAATCGTCTAAATCCCATTATCGGTTAATAATTTGGATAAATTTCATATTTAATCATCTAATTATTATTTTAGCTCTGTTTTGTTCACTTAATTACTATTTGTTATTCAAAATTATACCCAAAATTGGGCAAACACATTTGACCGGTTGACTAAATTGATCATCTTTATTACCTTAAATCATAGGTTCTAGACTCACTAGAAATAATCCTCTTTCTTTTCTTGGAGTACCCCTTTCCCCTCCTCTTAAGATAGGATTACTATAAGAAATTGTCAAAAAAATTTATACCTAATGTTACGTTTTAATTCAATTTTAATATTCTACAGTTAAAATATTAACAATGATATTGATGTGTCACTATAAAAAGATCATGTCAAATCATTATAAAAAAACGTAAGAGATTATTATGCCGGTAGTTCTATTTATTTTTTATAATGATAAAAAAAATTCAAAACGAATCAACAGTAAATTATCAAAATAATAATTAAGTGAGTAATTATGTAATTTACCTTCAAAATGAATTGAGCTGTTGATATGTCTAGGTCAAGTTCTAATTCAAACATTTCCCTTTTCATAGTTGAGAACGATCCAAAGCAGCCGCATGGAGGTTGATGTCACAATGCCACCAAATTTAAGACTTTTAGATCAACATGATGATCCCAAAATGGGACAAATCATGCGGTGCTGACTGACCTTAAGATGATTCCCCAAAACAACTGGCCACGTGTGATGCCAGGCAAAAGGTGTCCATCAACCCAAACTGCAATTACAATTAATTTTTGGGCAAAATACTTAAATAATCTCCCTACTATAACGTTATTAAATTTTATAATTATTAAAAATTATAAAACAATCTTTTGATTATAAGATATAAAATGATCACTCCTATATTCCAAATTCATCTTTTATGATAAAAGTTAATAATCATTTAAGTTTGACGTTAACATGTTAATTATGATATAATAAAATTATATTTTAATGATATCTACCGATATTGTTATTGATTTTAAGCACTGATTTGATGATATAATATTTCAAACATTTACTTAAAGATAAAATGTAAATAGAAAGTCGATCCACAAAATATAACGAATTAAATTTTATTATTTCTCAATTAATGTGTTAACATTTAACTCAGACGATCACAAATTATTTTACAAAAAAGGACAAATTTAAAACTTATAAATAATTAAATAATCGTTTTGTAATATTTAATAATCAGAAAACTAAAAAAGTAGTACACTATATCATTTTATAACTTTTAATAATTGAAATATTTAATAAAATAACATCCTCTAATCGAGGGATATTTTAGTACTTTATTCTTAATTTTTCTAATGTAAATGTATCACTTTATTTGGAGTATAAAAAGAAAGAGCAAATTACAGTAGGCATCATCAAATTATTGTTTTTCTAATCCAAATTCCAAAACTGATAGATTCTTCCAATGAATGCATAAGCACCGCCAAATTCACTCATTCGGTCACTTTTGGCATTTGGCTAACAACCAGCAATCACAGGGCCACCACTGGTCGGAATTTCACCGGTGACTTGTCCCTCCTTGTGTTTCAATGTGCGTGACCGTACAAGTCGTAAGGCGCCCATAATGCGTCGAGCGGGCATGGCCGTCTCGAGTCGAGCCTATCCCATGGTTTACCTTCACCGGACCAATGTAAGAGGCTAACAGGACCGGGATGCAAGTCCCGACAACTTCCCCTCACGTTGTCTCCGCCCAACCCGTGTTGGTTCCATCTATGCTCGATGGTCGCCACTCGTCCCGCAAAAACCAACAGCAACGGCGGCAACGAACCCAGCTCGTAGATCCGTTCCATTTTCTGGATTTCCATCCACCGTTCGATGCGCTTCGTGTACCCGACCCGTCTCCATTTCACCAGATCTATCACCATCACCCCCGTGTTGAAATAACACGGCTTCCTTCCCCTGAATGTCCCGGAAAACCGTTCGCCCGACCAGAACCCCGCCGTGAAATACTTCGTGAAGTTGGCGTGGCAATATTCCGGCGCGCCGATTGTTCTTGAACCAAGGCTGGTGCTCCAGAGTTTTGTGATGTCGTCAACGACGACCAGATCGGAATCTAAATAAATCACTCGCCGTACGCAGGGTTCAAGCAGATTCGCTAAGAAGTGGAAGAAGAAATTCTCCGGACACAACGAATGCTGAAGAATGGAGTGAACGGCGGCGATTGAGCCACGGAGGTACTCCACATCGAGAGTGATGGCCAGGTGGACTAAAGAAGGGTCGCAAACGCCGGTGATTTCGTGACCAGTGGAGCGACATTTCTCGGCATTGCGAAATTCCGACGCCTTTCGAAAAGAGAACAGATCATCAAGTGGGTGCGGAGACGTAGACGGCTGATATGAAGGTAACCGGAGATTGGTGTCGCGTTGAGATGACCCAATGGCTTCAGCCGTTGGAAATGACTGGAACGAAGGAGATGGAACAATCATCACCATTGCTGCTGAAAAGAATCCAGAGAATCGCATTAACCAAAACATCTTACAGAGTATCATGAAAAAGACAAATCCCCTTTTTCGCCGTGGGAACGAAGCAACCTACGACAGGAAAGAAAACCCAGAATGGAACCGTTGGAAATATAAAGCAGTACTACGGCAGCCGCCGGCGAAAAACTCTTACAGTCCCTACACTCTGCCCTCCCAGCGCCCACTCTTCTCTCCGAGAGAAGGCGACAAAAAGAAGAATAGAGAGACAGGAGGCAGAGGCAGAGGCTAGAGAGAGAGAGAAGAGGTAGATGAAAAGCTTTTTCCTTTTTATAAATTGTTTTGATTCTTAGCTTGGCGTTGTCTACCATAGAAAACTACGGAAAAACACAATAATAGATTCGGGACGAAGGGTATTATCAATATATGGTAATAGATAACAAGAGGGTGGTTAAATTTGGTAATAGAAATTTTTTGGTAAGTGTTTTAAGAAAAAGGGTAAAATATACAAATGGTCCCGGATTATAGGGTGATATTTTATTGAATCTCTCAATTATAAAAAGTTACAAAATGATCTTCCAACTATAGGGTGTTGCATTGTGGAGTCCATCGATTATTAAAAGTTATAAAATGGTCATATGACCATTTATCATATTTCAAACTCGTATTTTTCTGTTAAAAAATTACGACAGCTGAGCTGAATGTTAATATGTTGACTAAGATATGTTAAAACTGATTTTAGAATCTAAAAACATTATCATATCTCAATCAATATGTTAACATCCGACTCATATTATTGTAAATTTTTTAATATAAAAGGACAAGTTTGAAATATATTAAATAATTGGATGACTACTTTGTAACTTTTAATAGTTGAAAGATTTAACAAAACAACACACTATAGTCCATGGATCATTTTGTAATTTTAAATAAATAATGGATTTAATAAAGTATTATTCTATAATCGAAAAACTATTTATGTACTTTATCCTAAGAAAAATTAGCCAAGTTAGGATTGTCTCAGGAAAAGCGGGTTAATATACGGCATTACCTGATACATTATAATATATCTAACAAATTTGGTTTAGCGCTACTGGAAATATTAAGTAATAATAATGTAGTAGGTCTAAATCATGAAGAAATATTTAAAAATTTGGCAACCGACAAACTTAGCTTGTTGGTTTGTGTCGCCACAAATGAAAAATGTATCGCTCCATAGCAATATTACAGGTAAAAATATGACAAAACCGGCATCGAAATGACAAAATCGGTAAAACGATACCGGATATGTTAAAAGTGTCGATAATTTAATATAAGTATCGACACTTTTGGAATTTAAAAGAGAAGAAGTTATAGCGCCTATAAAGTGTCGATACTTTAAAAAAATGTATCGATCCATAACAATATAACATGTAAAAATATGACAAAAGAGGTCTCAAAAATGACAAAATCAGTAAAAAATACAGGATATGTTGAAAGTGTCGATAATTTAATATAAGTATCGAAATTTTTTTGGAATTTAAAAGAGAAGAAGTTATAGCGCCTATAAAGTGTCGATACTTAAAAAAATGTATCGATCCATAATAATATAACAGGTAAAAATATGACAAAACCGGTCCCAAAATGACAAATCCGATAAAGCGCTACCGGATATGTTAAAAGTGTCGATTATTTAATATAAGTATCGACACTTTCTGAATTTAAAAAAGAAGTTATAGCGCCTAAAAAGTGTCGATACTTTATGAAAATGTATTGATCTATAACAATATAACAGTTAAAAATATGACAAAATCGGTCTCAAAATGACAAAACTGATAAAGAACTATCGGATATGTTGAAAGTGTCGATACTTTAATATAAGTATCAACACTTTTGGAATTTAAAAGAGAAGTTATAGCGCCTATAAAGTGTCGATACTTTAAAAAATGTATCGATCCATAACAATATAATAGGTAAAAATATGACAAAACCGTTCTCAAAATGACAAAACCGGTAAAGCGTTATCAGATATGTTGAAAGTGTCGATACTTTAATAAGTACGCGTAATAAATTATCGATACTTTCAAAGAAATAGGTAAATATCCTATCGAAAGTATCGACACTTGACAGTAAAGTATCGACACTTAGGTAGTTGTATCGATTAAATATAAATAACATATCCGGTGTAAATATAAAGGCATAGCTAAATTTCCTCTGAAAATAGATAGAGTTTTTAAAATCGAAATGTAATTGTTGCTGCATTTCAGAAGGCGTTTCTACGGCGAAGTTTTGTTTGTTTGTTGTTGCAGTCGAATCGAAAGGTACGTTGTTGAAACCCTAGTTTTTTATTATTACAGTAATTGGAAATAAGGTTTTTATGTGTTGTTTTTTAGGGTTTTCAAAGTAAAGAAGTATTTGAGACCGAATACATGTAGAAAGTGATATTCTAGGTAGATGATAAATATCGATACTTTTATTTAATATTATAGGTAAAAAAATTATATTATAGGTAAAAAATGATATTATAGGTAAAAAATGATATTACATGTAGAAAGTGATATTCTAGGTAGAAAATAAATATGGATACCTGTATATAATATAATATTATAGGTAGAAAATGATATTTTAGGTTGTATAAATGTGCCGACACTTATTGTAGTGGTCATTCAAATTCTTTTGAAGACCAACCGTTTTACCACAAGAGTGATTATTGATTTTTGTATATTGAATATAAAGTGTATGTAAGCAGTATTTGATTTGATTTACACAAATTGATATATGAAGGAAAAATGAAATCAATGGGTGGATAGCAACCAAAGGGTGGATATATGTACTTTTAGTAAGTATCAATGTCTTTTTGTTATTATTGTTGAAATTTTAATTGAATTAAAGTATTTAAGAACTTTAAATTGATTACAAATTTTAAATGTTGACAGAATGGCCGAATGCAAAAGGATGAAGGAAGATGACACACACAGCGGTTCGATATGTAAAATGAAATTGACATTGAGTATTATTTAGCATTAATGTATTGATTAAGAAATGTTTATGCTTAATATTAGGTGACAAAAGTTGTGAGGTCGAAATGGAATTCAATGAGTGATGCTGAAAAGGAACCTTACATCACACAGTCAATGAATGAGAGTAAAGAATACAAAGAACGGAGGAAAGAACATGAAAAGAAGGTATTCATTAAACTTGTAAATACGTTGATACAAGATATATAAGAACAATAACATTATATATTGTTAAAAAATGTTGGAAGTGTCGACAAGGTGCAGCATAAAAAGGGTGAATTCATTAATTGAACACCTCAAAGAGAAGGATCAGTTGAATGTGCTGAGGGAAATGGGGTTTGGATTGTTGATAGGACTAGGGGATCGACCAATTCGGAGGGAATTGTATTGATCCTTGATGGAGCAATTTGATGTCAAATAATGTATTGCTAAATATGGTGATTATTCATTCCCTCTGGGGGTATCGACTGCCGCAGCCGTCTTGGGGGTACAAAACAAAGGCAAAAGTGTTGTAGAAGTCTGTAGGAGTAAGAACTGGAAAGCACTTGCCTCCAAATATGGTTTGAATCAGAAGGTGACATATGCTGAAGTTGAAGAGGATATCAAAAGTGGATCTTACGGGGGGATGACCTGAAGGCCCGAGTTCTATTGTACCTTGTCGGGATATTTCTTTGTCCAACGGGTGATACGTCAACGAACAAGGACAATATGAAGCTCATTTGCGATGAAGGCTTGAAGGGTGAATTCAATTGGCTGAATATGTCCATTCGAGATTGATTGAATTAATAATCACCTTTCAAAATGGCAGCCAGAGATACCTCAAAAGGTGCATAGCAATCTTAGAGGTAACTGAGTTGAAGAATGTTTTTGTTTTTTTTTATATAATAAAATGATAATATATTTATTATATAAAATGATAACTTTTATTATAAATGCAGGTTGCACTGCTCGATTTTTGGTCGGGCTATGATAGTTTGCCGACTTATGAAAGAAACGGAGTGGCACACATCCGTGCATGGGGGAAGGAAGAGATGGTTAGAGTGATGGTGAAGTTTAAGTTGGATAGACCGAGGAAGTTAGATATGGTAATAAATATAATTAAATAATATTAAGAATATAATCAATGTCTTAATACAAATTTAATTTTGAAGGTTATTGTCAAGGAGGTAGAGGATGCAGAGGAAGCAGATGAGGCAGTGGAGAAGGAAGAAGAGATGGTTGGAGGGGTGGATGACGGTCAGGGGGATTACGGTGAGGGAAAAAAGAGTAAATTCGACATTTTGATGTGTGAATTGGTTGATATTAAAAAATCCTTTTTGATAATCATCAAAGACAATCAAGAGTCGAAGAGACACTTGAGAGGCATAAGGGGGAAGTGGAAGGAAAGATAGATGTAATGGTGAATGAAGTTGAGGTGTTGAGGGAACTTAATCTGTTGATGGGTGGAAAAATTGATGTAGTTGTCAAGGAGGTTGTGGAATTGAGGAGTGAACTTACGGGGGCGAAGGAGATGGTTGAGAAAAACTTGGATGAAGGGTGAAATAAAAGAGATGAAGAGCTATGTAGAGCAAAATATGATGAACTGAAAAAATTTGAAGAAGAGAAGATGGAGGAAGTACAAAAGATGGGAGGAAATGGAGAGAAAGGATGTCACTAACATCTATACACCAGAGAGTGTTATAGATGCATATTTGGATTCGGAATGTCCTGCACCCCAGAAGAAGAAGCAGAAGGTAAGTTGAATAAAAGAAAACTTAATCTATTTTTTATCATGTTGTTGTGACAAAAATTTGTATGCAAAACTGTAGGTTGAAAAAACGGTTATTCCAAGCGGAATTGAACCGGTCGAAGCTGCAATTTGTGATTATTTATTGAATAGTGGGTTAGAATCGGGGTAAGTTAAATATATTGCTTTGTGAGTGATATTTAAATATTTCATGGCAATATATTAATCCTAATGATTCATACAGATATTCTGTAATCTCAATGGGAAATCAATACGTTAGTGTATCCGACGTTGCAACATTGAAGCCTAGTGAATGGGTTGGTGGTGTGGTAAGTAGAAATCGATTAAAAGTTAAAACCTATTGAATATATTCTAATTGTGTATTTAATTTTGTTAGGTTATTGATTTGCTCGCCTGGACAGTATGCTACGATTTTAAAAAGCCAGGTCGGATGATTGGCTACATTCCATACCACTTAACGGTGAGTTAAATTAATAAATGTTGAAAAGTAATGTTATAGACGCTAAATTAATAATGATTGACACGTAATTACAAC